TTTACTGGCAGCGCATGACACGGGTGACAAACACAGGGGGGAAGGAGACACTCCAGAGAGGACCCCCCTGAACTGGGACCCCCCCATGTCCCACCCGCTACCCCTGGGACCCCTCAAACTTTGGGATCAATCCCTGGAATTTTGGGTTAGTCCGATTTTTTTTGCTTCATGCAAAAGTCCCCTCCCTGAATGATGTCCCTGTTATCTCTCCCAGCACCCCCCAGCACTCCAAAACTGTGCCTCACYCCAAAATGCCCTCCGAGGTCATTACCGAAACCCCAGTCCAGGAAAAACTTCATCGGTTGTGGGATCAAAATTCCAATTTTTATTCCAAAAGGACCCACACCCCCTCACCCCCTCCCCAACTTTTGGCATCCCTGAGGTTTTTTGGGGTCCCCGAGTTTTCGGGGGGGGGGTAAGGATTTGGGGGGATTTTTAGGGTTGTTGGACATTGGGGGGGGAATTTTTTGATTTTTGTGATTTTGGGGATTTGGGGTTTTTGGAGTCACTCTTACCCTGGGCATCGCCTCCGGAGGTGAGGACGGCGATGGCTTTGCCGACACCCAGGCTCTCGGTGCGCCGGGGTCCCGCGGGGCTCGGGGTCATTTTCCTGCCTGGAAAAACGGGAAAATCCCAAAGTGGAAAGGAAGGAAGGGCGGGAGGCTCTGTCTCCCCTGGTGGCGCTGGCGGCGTAGAGTGGCACCCGCTGTGCCCGCTGTGCCCCTTCAAGGGGAGGGACCSGGGGACAGCCCCGCTGCCACCGCGGGGGGGCTGTGGGCTCCTTACTAGGGCCAATTTGGCCTCGTTACCGGTCCCAGTCTCTGTTCTCAGCGGGAGTTGCTTTGCTTTCCTTAATGGTGCGAGTCTGMTTTCCTTACTGGTCCCAGATTGTTCTTACTGGTTCCAGTCTTTACTCCCAGTGGGAGCTGTTCTGTCCTTACTGGTCCCAGTCTCTATTCCCTATGCGTCCCAGTCCTTGTTCCCTGTGGGATCCCTGTCCCTCCTTACTGGTGCCAGTCTGTGCTCCCTGTGTGACTTGCTCTGCACTCCTGACTGGTTCCAGTTTGCTTTCCTTACTGGTCCCAGACCCCGTTCCCTGCTGATTCCAGTACCTCTCCCTGACCGGTTCCAGTTCACCGCCGGCCCCGGGGCGGGGGCGTTACTGATCCCGGTCCCCGTTCCCCGCCGGTGCCTCTCCCGGTTCCATTCGGTGCCGGTCCCACTGCGGGACCGTTACTGGTCCCAGTACCCAGTCCCTACTGGGAGCACTGACCTGCGGGGCGCCCCCGGCTCGGGGCGGGGGGGAGGAAGGACAGGAGGAGAAAGAGGAGCGCGGCCACGGAGAGCGCGGCGGAGGCGAGGAACCGGGAGAGCGCTGGGGACAGCCCCGCCACAGCCACCATGGCCCGGGCGCACGGCGGGGAGCGCGGTCATGCGATCGGGGTAATGGGATCGGCTGCAGGGACCGGCTATTATGGGATCGGCTGTAATGGAATCGGGGTGATGGGATCAGATGTACAGGGATCGGCTGTTATGGGATCGGCTCTAAAGGGATTGACTGTAATGGGATCGGACGTAGGGTCCAGCCATTATGGGATYGAATATTAGGGGATCAGCTGTAACGGGATTGGACGCAGGGACCAGCTGTAACAGGACTGACTACAGGCAGAAACTGTAATGGGATCGGCTGCGATGGGATCAGGCATACTGGGATCGACTATAGGGATAAACTCTAGTGGGATGAGCTGTGCTGCATGGGGCTGTAATGGGATGGGGCTCCCAGAAAACCGGGATGGGGTGGGGTTGGGATCGGCTGTGCCGGGATCGCTGTCCCATGGGTGACACCCACGAGGGGACATTGGCCTGTGCAATGGCCTCTCCAAGGGGTGACTTCTTATAGAGTGACCCCCATACAGACAGTAATCCCTAGAGAGTGACACCCCCAAAAGGGTGACCCACACACGCAGGGTGACTACCCGCTATAGTGTGATACTCCCCCYGGGGTGACCCTCTATAGGGTGACCCCACACACAGGAGGACCCCCTGCAGGGCCACAGCCCCCACTATAGGTGACGCCCTATAGAGTGAAATCCCCACACCTTATAGGGTAACTCTCTGTAGGGTAACTGTCTCCTATAGGGTGACACCCCCCCCGAGTAACTCCCGTCCTGAACCACTCCCCACTATCGCTTTTACCCTGGACCTCCACCCCACCAGGGAGGCGCTCTCATTCTCCCGCAGSGTTCTTGTCCCGCCGGGCGAGCGCTTCCCTCGGCTCTCACTTCCGCTTCCATCGCCGCTTTCCCGCAACCGCAGCCGAGCCCGGGAAAACCGCGCGCGCTCGGGACGCTTCCGGTAGCACTTCCGCTTCCGGTCGGGCGGCCGGGCCGGTTGAGGGGAGCGAAGCGGCGGCGGCTCCGGGCCCTGCAGCGCTCCCGGGGACGGCTGAGGGGAGCGAAGCGGCGGCGGCTCCGGGCCCTGCAGCGCTCCCGGGGACGGCTGAGGGGAGCGAAGCGGCGGCGGCTCCGGGCCCTGCAGCGCTCCCGGGGACGGCTGAGGGGAGCGAAGCGGCGGCGGCTCCGGGCCCTGCAGCGCTCCCGGGGACGGCTGAGGGGAGCGAAGCGGCGGCGGCTCCGGGCCCTGCAGCGCTCCCGGGGGCCCCGCTCCTCTCCCGGGGCCCCGCTCCTCTCCCGGGGGCCCCGCTCCTCTCCCGGGGCCCCGCTCCTCTCCCGGGGCCCCGCTGCGTTCCCAGGGCCCCCTCCGGTTCCGGACCCTTTACTTCTGCCCTCCCGGGACCCCGCGGCCGCCGGGCCTTTCCAGCCGCGTTTTCCCCCCGCTGTCCCCGTCGCACGGAGCCGAGGCGGCGGCGCTGCACCCCCATGAGGATGGAGGCCCGGGAGGTGGCGCGGGCCCGGCACGGTCTGGTGTTCAAGGCCTTTCCTCAGGGACCGCCCGAGAACAAGGTACGGACATGGCGCTTTTGGGGCTGGGGGCTTGCGTGTCCCCTTTTCCATCGGGGCTAGAGCTGCCTTCCCACATGGAATTACCGGAGTTTGGGAGCAGGAAGCAACTTAGAGGATATTTGACAATTCCCCTATCCTAGGGTGTTCCTGGACATTTCCAGGGATGCGGCAGCCGCGGTTTGTCTGGGAAAGCTCAGCCTGAAGAACCCAAAAGTCAAACGCCAAACCCTTTTTGGGGTTTCCTTGGATATTGATGCGGAAATTCCAGCTGGAATGTGATCGGAAATGGGGATCCCCAGCCTGGCATCCCCCTCAGGATTAGGGGYGTTGGCAGATCTGGGAAATTCAGGATTTTCCTTGCAGTCGTTGGGTTTTTACTGCTCTATAAATTCTTTYCATAAAATTTGAGAGTTGTGGGAGTTTTATGATCGGTGAATTTTGGAAATTGATTCTTTTGGGAGTTGTGAATTTCAGGGATTGTGAGGTTTGGGAGCTGTGAATTTGAGGAATTGTGAATTTTTGGGGAGTGGTGAACTTTGGGAGCTGTGATGTTTGGGAATGGTGAATTTCAGGAATTGTGAGTTTGAGGAATTGCGGATTTGAGGAATTGGGACTTTTGGGACTTGGGAACAGTAGGAGTTGCAAATTTGTTTAGTTCTGCAGCTGTGAGTTTTAGGAATTGTGAGTTTTGTGTGTTGGGAGTTTTGGGAGTTGGGAGTTTTAGGAATCAGGAATTGTGATGTTTAGGAATGGTGAAGTTTAGGAATGATGAGCGTTGGGAATGTTGACCTTTACAAATTGTGAATTTGAGGGATTGTGGGTTTTGGGAGTTGTGAGCTTTGGGGATTATGAACTTCAGGAACAGTGAATCCCTGCCCCCTGACCCTCATCCATTCCCAATCCAATCATGGAACATCCTCGCCTTTTCCCACCCCCTGTAAATTGACTGGATTCAAACACCACCTTTTCCCTTTTCTAACCAAAACCTGGGATTTTCCCTGATTTTTYTCCCCAGTTTTTTGCTCCCAAACTCAGCAACTTCTCCTGCACCTCTGGAAATGCCTCCTGCTCCCTCAGGTACAGCCCAGGTGAGCTTATTCCTGTGGCATTTGGGACTGTTTTCCCTAAAAGAAAWACCCTGGAGAGGGGGAATTTGGCTTTTTCTGGGAATTTTGTTTTTTTTTTCCTTCAGAAATTCCCTGTCCCGAGAGATTCCCAGGAGCCAATGGGCAGTGGAGGAGCTCAGGGAAGCCTCGGGGGAGCAGAGGGTCCTACCTGGAATCCCGGAAAAATTCCAGGTGGGTGTGGCACTTGCAAAATTCCTGGTGCAAAATCAGACCTAAAAAGATCGAGAATGGGGTCGGGGAAAAAAAAATAATTTAGGGGTTTCGGACAAAAACAAGGTGGATTTGGCTATAAAATCACCGGAATTTCAGTGGCTGGAGTTTGGGATTTCATGGATTGACTGGAAATGGGAATGTTACACTGCTGGATTTTTCTGTTTTTTGTATGTTTTTGGGGGGGTTATATAGGATTTTATTTGGGATTTTTGTTTGGGGTTTTTTGGGGGGGGGTTATTTAATATTTGGATTGCGGAGGTTGGGATCTTTTTGAGGGATTTTTGGGGGRTTTTRGARATATATTTGGGGTTTTGTTTGGGGTTTTTTGATAGGAGGGTTATTTTGAGAATTTTTGGGATTTTGGGTTAGGGTTTTATTTGGGATTTTGGAGGGGGTTTTCTGATTTTGGAAATTTTGGTGGGCAGTAAACTACAATTTTGGGATTTATTTGTAATTTGGGGATTTGGGCGGGTTGGAATTGTTGGGGATGGGTTTTTTAAAATTTATATGGGATTTTTTGGTGTTTTATTTGGAAGTGGGAGGGGGTTTGGGGTTTTTAGTTGTTTTTTTTAAATTTTATTTTAAAGCAATCTGGGATTTACAAGAAATTTTGGCGTTTCTTTTCCTTCCTTCCAGCGGGAATTCCAACAATTTTGTGGGAAAATCCAACCTGCACAGCCACAGCTCCTCCTTTCCCATCAAACCAGCCCCAAGCCCCTCCTGGAGCCGCCGCAGCCCCAAAAAGACCCCGAGGCGCTTCCTGAGCACCGCTGAGGAGGTGAGGCCTGAGAATCCGGGAGAATCCTGGGCTTTGGATGGGATCGGGAGGGGCTGGGGCAGATCTGGGTGCTTGGATGGGATCAATCTGGAGGTTCCTGCGTTTTGCAGTCCTAAAATTCCTGAGTTTCTTCCAGCCCTAAATCGCAATTTCTGGGGATCTTGGTGGACTTAAAGTCCAAGTTCCTGGGATTTCTGGCCCTAAAATCCTTTTTTTTTTTTTTATCTTGGTGGGGTTAAAATGAAAATACCAGCTCTGAATCCCAATTTTTGAAGATCTTGGTGGTGCTTACACTCAAAATTTCTGGTTTTTTCCACCCTCAAGTCCCATTTTTTGGGGATTTTTCTCAGCATTGCCTTTGTGGGATCACATCAGCTCCCTAAATTTGGGTAAAATCTCTCGGGATCAGCGAAATCCAAGGTTTTTTCCRTGACTTTTGCCCCCAGACTGTGCGGGAAGAGGAGCGGGAGATTTACCGGCAGCTGCTCCAGATGGTGACGGGGAAACGATTCTCAGGCTCCAAATCATCCCCGCTCTTCCCATTCCACCTGTGAGTATGGAATATCCCAAAAACCCCACCCTGATCCCAGAAAATACCCAAAGACCCTGTCCTAATCCCAAAACATCCCCAGCCACGTGTCCACATCAGAAAGACTCCGCCCAAATCCTCAAAACCCCCCAAAAAACTATTGAAATTCCAAAAAATCCCCAAAACCCTGCCCTAATCTCAAAAAATCTCAAAAAAAGCTGCCAAATCCAAAAAACACTTCCCTAATCCCAAACCTTTCCAAAAACTCTTCCTAAATACAAAAAATCCTTCCCAAATCCCCCAAACTCTGCCCAGATCCCAAAAATGCCCCAAAACCCTTCTCAAAACCCCAGAAATTCCCCAAAATCKCTCCCCAGATCCCAGATTTCCCACCTTTTTCTAGGAATTCTGGTGACGGGTTTTTTTGCAGCTCCAGGTGCCCYGATTCCGGCCAATCCCTGCTGAAGGAGGCTTCCCGTGAGGATTCCCAGGCACCGGAAACTCCCAAAATTCCGGTTTCCGGCCCCATCCCGCAGTCCCTGGAGCTGCTCCGTCCCAAAAAGGCCCCCCTGGGCCCCTCTGTCCCAGGGTATCCCGGGGGCTTCCAGCCCCAAARTTCCGTGGCACCGCAGCAACGGGAGCAGCAGGAGGAGTCTGGTGGCCAGGCTGAAGGTAAAGATGCTGAAATCCCAGAAAAATTCCCCAAAACACTCCAAWTTTTTTTTTAAAAAACTAAATAAAACCACCCATAAATCCCAATAAGCCCCTCACCGAAATCCCCAAAAATATCAAACAAATCCCAAACCAAGTCCCAAATAAAACCTCCCCCAAAATCTCCAACTCCCCCAAAAAATTCCTCAGAAATTTCAGGTAAATCACCCAAAATTCCCAAATAAAGCCCAAATGGAATCCAGAACAATCCCAAATAAACACAAAACAAATCCCAAAAAAACCCAAATAATTCCCAAATAAAACCCCCAAAAACCCAAATGGAACTCAACCTAAACCCTGAACAACCCCCAAACCCTTGGAAAGGGATTTAAATCTTGTGGCAAATCTGTGGGTTTTTATTTAGGATTGGGCACATTTTGGGGTGGGAATTGGAAAGGAAAAAACTCCATTAATTTTTTCCTCTTTTTTAGGGTCAGATTCTGTTATTTTGCTCAAGGTCAAGGATTCCAGGACTCCAGCTCCGAGGTGAGGGGTTGGAAATGGGGGAGTTTTGGGGGGAATTTGGGCCTTTTGGGACACGGGTAGGTGACAATGGAAAAAGATGGGGAGAGGCTGGGTAAAGGAGGAAATTCTGGAAGGGATTTGGAGGATTTTTARGGCACAGGGACAGGGTGAGAAGCTGGGAAAACGAGGGGATTGGAGGGATTTTTAGGGACAGGGAGGTGACRCTGCAAAAAGACAGGGAGAGAGCCTGGAAAATGATGACATTCTGGAGAAATTTTGACATTTTTGGCCACTTTCAACTGTCCTTTCTCCCTCTTTCCAGCCTCCCCTTTTTCCAGGCTGAGCTGTGGATCAAAGAACTGTGAGTAAAAATTCCCTATGTTTTCCTGGATTTTTGGGGGGTGGAAAAACCAAATTTCTCATGTTTTTTTTCCATAACATTTTGTCTTTTCCAGCACCAGTGTCTACGATTCCCGAGCCAGGGAGAGGTGGAGGCAAATCGAGGAGCAGAAAGCTCTTGCCTTGCAGCTTCAGAGCCAGGTGAGAATTCCATGGAAAAACACTCTGGATGGGCAAAGCCTGGGGGGAAAAAAGCAAATTTGCAAGTGGAAAAATTACAAAAAAAGGGAGAAATTACTTTTTGGATATTTTTGTGCTTYCCAATTCTGGAATAAACAGCCAGGAAAAGAGGGAATGTTGTCCCAGATTGGAAATAACAGATTTTTTTCACTGAGATGGTAGTCAGAGCTTGGAAAAGGGTCAGAATCCATGSAAATGGTAAAAAAATGTGGATGTGRCACTTGGGGGCGGGGTTTGGTGGCCCTGGAAGGGTCGGTTCCGTGATCCTGGAGGTTTTYTCCAATTTTATTGATCCTAAATCCTCCTTTTTTGTGTCCTTTTCCATCTCAAATCGCTGATCGTAAATCCTGGCCCTGCCCAGGACGTCCCAAAATCCACCCCCAGCCCTGGGAACRTGGATTGGATTCCCAGTTTTAATAATTGAATGATCCCAAATCTCTTTGTGAGAAGAWTCCTTGATCCCAAATGCYCGATCCCAAATCTCCAATCCCCGGTGCCAAATTTCTGTCCCGCAGCGCCTGCAGGAACGGGAGCGCTCGGTGCAGGAGCTGGTGGATCTGCACCTMCGGGTGCCCCTGGAGAAGGAAATTCCCGTCACCGTGGGGCCGGAGGAGAAGGAGGATCCCAGAGCGGCTGAGAGGGACGAGGAATTCCCAGAAATCACCGAGGTGGGGCCTGTAGCCATAAAACATAYAAATATTAACATGATTTCCTGGGATTCGGGCATGGGAATGGAGCCATGAGACCTCGTCCCATTCTATTTTTGCAGGGAATTTRTGATTCAAGGGGTAAAGGGTAAATTTGGTGTTAAATCCTTGGGGATTTCCCCAATTTTGGGGTCAGGAAAATGGGAAATTCTCTTTCCCCATCCCACAGGAAATGGAGAAGGAAATCAAGARCCTTTTCCGAGGAGGGAACCAGGACGAGGTGCTGAGCGAGGCTTTCCGCCTGACCATCACCAGGAAGGACATCCAGACCCTCAACAACCTCAACTGGCTCAACGACGAGGTGAAATTCCCAAGAATTCCCATTTTCCACCCATTTCTGGCMGGTTCAGGTAGAAAAATGAGTGGTTTTGGTGCTGGAAATGGATATGGGGGCTGGGATTCCCACCCTGGAGCAATAAATCTGTGGGGAAAGCTCTGTAAAATGAAAAACAATCTGATTTATTATTACTAATATTTTTGTTATTATATTGTTATTATCGGTTACTAAAAAATAATTACACAAACAAGGCAAAACAACAAATAAATTTTAAATATGGACAATTTTGAATATGGACTTATTTTTTAAATAAAGACAAATTCCTTAAAATCCACTGGAATTTTGGAAGGCTTGAGCTGTTGCAAACCTCTTGGAGTTTTTAAAGATTTTAATACAAATCCCCTCTGGTTTTGGGATTTATTGCCTCATTTTAGACGGACACAAATCCCGATTTTTTCCCCTTTTTCTTCAGATCATCAACTTCTACATGAATTTGCTGATGGAGAGGAGCAAGGAGAAGGATTTRCCCACCGTCCACGCCTTCAACACCTTCTTCTTCACCAAATTGAAGACGGCCGGGTACCCCGCGGTGAAGAGATGGACCAAAAAAGTGGATATTTTCTCTGTGGATCTGCTCCTGGTGCCCATCCACCTGGGAGTGCACTGGTGCCTGGCTGTGAGTGCCCAAATTATTCTCAAAAATCCCCGTTTTGGGGTTGAAGACCCAAATTATTTGAGGTTTCTTGAGGGATGCTAGGGGGAATAATCTGATTTTTTGGCTGAATTTGTGGCTCAAATACAAAGGTGGGAGCAGCTTTTGGGGAATTTTAGTCCTTAAAATTGGCTTGGAAGTCACCTTAGTCATAAAAATCCTCAGTTTGGGATTTAAGGCACAAATCTTGTTGTTGAGGGCTGCTGAGGGGAAAGAAATTGAGTTTGTGGCTCAAATCAAAGTAAAATACAAAGGTGGGAGCAGCTTTTTGGGAGTTTTAGGCTTTAAAATCAGCATGAAAATAACTTTATTTCAAAAACTTCTCACTTCATTCCTTAAAGTTGTTCCTAAAAATCCTCAGTTTGGGATTTGAGCCCCAAATTATGTTGGTTTTGAGGGATTCTGAGGGGAAAAAAATTATTTTGTGGCTCAGATCAAAGTTTAAATTGAAATATAAAGGTAGGAGCTGCTTGGGAGGCGGGTTTAGTCGGTGAAATCAGCTTGGAGGCGGTTTTAGGGAGTTTATTCCCTTGGGAAGATCTGATTTCCCAGTTCCCACCAACTCCCATTGCCACGGGATCCTTTTTAGAGAGATTTAGGTCACAGATATTTCACTCTTTTCCCCTCCTTTGTCCCATCCCCTGTTCTGGCTCCCCGGATCTGTGAGGATTTTCAGCTCCTGAACAAAAACCTCCTCAAATTATTAATTCCTGCTTCAATTATTGATTGATTTCCTTGGAAATAACTTCATTCCCACTGGAAATGGGACAGGAATGCCCTCAAAAACCACCTGGATTTGGGGACTTGAGAGGTGGAGCAAAACCTTTGTAAAACTTGTGGTAGTAATAGTAATGATGATGATGATGATAATAATAGAGGCTGATTGATACATACAGGGATTAAAAATACAGCAGAAAACAGTGGGGTTTTTTTGGGCCATTTTAGGCTCAATTTGGGGGTCATTTTTGTGCTCTTTCAGGGACATTTTTKGGGTCATTTTTGTGTTCTTTTAGAGTCATTTTTGGCCTCTTTAACAATAATGAAATACTATAAAAATAATATTAGAGGTTGATTTAGACATTCAGCAATTAAAAATACAGCAGGCAACAACAGGGATTTTTGAGGGCAATTTTAGGGTCAACTCTGGGCTCTTCTAGGGTCATTTTTGTGCCCTATTAGGGTTACTTTTGGGGCTCTTAGGATCATCTTCCGACTCTTTTATAGTAATTAATAATAATGTAGAAGTARTATTAGAGGCTGGTTTAGACATTCAGGGATTAAAAACATACTGGGAGAAAGAGATTTTTTTGGGGGAAATCCTTCTCTGCTGTGAAATAAACAGAATTATTTTTCCTGGCAGGGAGAATTCCTGATTTGTTTCCCCTTTTTAAAGAGTTTTTCTCCATGCAGGTTGTGGATTTCAGGAAGAAAACCATCACCTATTATGATTCCATGGGGGGGATCAACAGCGAGGCCTGCAGGATCCTGCTGTGAGTCAAAATCCTTTATCTGGCAGCTTTTCCCAGGAAAAATCCTGCTCCCGCTGCCCTGGCTGCGGGAATACCAACTTCTCCCATTTTTGGGACCCTTTTGGGGTCATTTTTGGGTCCTTTTAGGGTCATTTTTGGGCTCTTCCAGGGTGATTTTTTGGGCTCCTTTGGGGTAAGTTTTTGGGCTCCTTTAGGGTCATTTTAAGGTTATTTTTGGTCTCTTTTAGGTCATTTTTTGGGTCTGTTTTGGGTTCTTTTAGGCTAAGTCATTTTTGGTCCCTTTTTTAGGCTTACTCTCCCCTTCCAGGACCTGGAAAAGCTCCTGGAATTCCTTACCCCAAATCCTAGGAATTTTCTCCATTTTTTTTTCTGTGGGATTTGGCCCCTCCAGATCCAATTTAGGATTTTTTTTGGAGCCAAATTTACCTGGATCCCTTTTGCTCTGGCCAAACAGGGAGGAAAATGCCAGAATTCCCATTTTTCCATGAATCCAAATCTTTCCCTTGTCCTTTCTTTCTGCAGGCAGTACCTGAAGCAGGAAAGTTTGGATAAGAARAGGAAGGAATTTGACACCAATGGATGGGCCCTGCTGAGCAAGAAGAGCCAGGTGGGTTTAAACACCCCAAAATTGCAAAAGAATTTGGGATTTCCTTGGATTCCCCACCCTTTTYGGGCCCTTTTTCCCTGAAGGGGTCCTGGGGAGTAAAGGGAGGGAACAAATCCCAAATCTTGGGGTTTTCCATGGGGATGGGTTTGACCCAAAAGGGGAAGGATTTAGGTGTGAACTTGGGAAGCAATTCCCATTGGGAAGGTGGGAACACAAAATGTCCTGGAATTCTGCAATCTTTCCAGCCCCAGAAATCCTGGAATTCTGGGACCTTTCCACCCCAAAAATCCTGTAATTCCAGGTCCTTTCTGTGGCTTTCCCGCTCTGGGGCCATCCCAATTCTCCCCAGTTCCCTCTTCCCCTTCCTTGGCAAGGGTGACAGGCTGGGAAAGGAGGGGCTGTGCTGCTAATTCCCCATAGGATTCCCTGTGGAATTCCTATTCTTCCCAMAGAAAATCCCGCCTGAATTTACCTCAGATTTCTATGGGATTTCTGGGATTTTTGGGAATGTTGAATTCATGTTTTTCCCGGCAGGAGATCCCGCAGCAGATGAACGGCAGTGACTGTGGAATGTTCGCCTGCAAATACGCCGAGTGCATCTCCAAGGACAAACCCATCAACTTCACCCAGGTACAGAGCCCTGCAATTCCCAACATTCTCAAACTCCTGCAGCCCSCAAACCCCCAGGGCCAGRAAAACCAAGAATCCTTGAAACCCAGAAAAGTCTGGGAGAAATTCGGCCAAATTTATTCTATTTCCCACCCAGTTCCYGGGTTATTTCACATTCCCAGCCTTGATTGGGGCAATTCCCACACGAAATCATCCCCAAATCCCTGGGAAAAGCTCCCAGACCTCCCAGGTGTGAGGAAAACCCAAAAAATCCCTGAAATCCCAGTGAAATCTGGGAGAAATTCAGCTGAATTTATCCCATTTCTCACCCGAATCCCAAGGAATTCTCATTATTTCACATTCCCAGTCTCCCAGCACCAGGGGTATTTTTTCCAGGGAATTGTCCCCAAATCCCTGTCCCAGATCCCTGGGGAAAGCTCTCAAATCCACAGTTTGGGGAAAATCCCAAATGCTGTCAAAATCTGGGATAAATTCTTGCGTTTCTCACCCGAATCCTGAAGAATTCCCACTTCATTCCCCATTTCCACCCTCCAGGAATATTCCTGACCACTCCTGATTATGGGTCAGCATTCCCAAATCCCAACATTTCCAAATTGCCTCAGCTCCCAAACCCCCAGGGCCAGGAAAATGCCACCAAAATCTGGGACAAATTCCCCCATCCTCCCCGCCAAATCCCAAGGAATTCTATTCCCCATTCCCACAACCCCAAATCCCCAATTTTTACCCTTTACCATGCTCCCAACCCCAATTTTCCACAGAAAAAAAGGCAGAAATCATCCCCTGTCAGAGCAAACCCTGACCAAAATTTGCATTTTTTCCCTATTCTTCCACATTTTTTCACCCAAATTCCCAAAGCAACACATGCCCTACTTCCGGAAGAGGATGGCCTGGGAGATCCTGCACAGGAAGCTCCTCTGATGCCAAGAAACCCCGAAATTCCTCGGATTTGGATCAGAAAATCCCGGATTCTCCTCGGGATCCACTCCAGGACGCAGCCGAGGGACRCCGGGTCCAGCTCTTCCCAAACAAAGCTCCTGGATCTGGGGGAATAGAAAAGTTTGGAAGCACAGTTGGGATTTTTGGAGTTTTTCCCTCTTTTTTGCAATTCCCAGGTTGCTTTTCCAGGTGCTGGGATAGGGAAATTCAGGAATTTTTGTGGCTTTCGGAGCTGAATTTTGGGAAAAGGGGAGGATTCCACCGATTTGAGTTGGGAAAAGCTGGATTTGGGAAGAGCAAGGGAAGGTTTTGATTGTGGAGGGAATTTTTGGGGATCATTCCCCTTTTTTCCCTATTTTTTTAACCTCATTCCCAATGTTTTGGGATCTTATCCATGGGAAAACCTCAGTTGGGATGCAGGGGAGAGTCTGGGATGATCCCTGGGAGTAATTTGTGCTTAARTCCACGTTTTCCCCTATTTTTCTTCCCAAATGCCCACTTCATAGCACCATTTTTTCTGGGATTAAGCTCTGGAATGCAGCACCACGGAATTTCTCTGGATTTATTCCCAAACTTTGCTTTTTTGAGGGATAAACCCCAAAATCTGAGAAAAATCTGGGATATTTTGGGAATTGGTGGGGAATTTTCCCTCCCTTTGGAGCTTCTTCATCCCTGCATGGATCCAGCAACTCCCATTGCATTTTCCAGGTGTTTTTTCCACCTTTTTCCTGGAAAAAAGGCTCCCAAATCCTCTCCCAGCACCTCTGTGATCGCAGRAACGGCAGCAACCWTGGGGAAAGCCCCAAAMTCCTCCAAATTCCTTCAATTCCCCAAGAAAACAGTATGTGGGAGCTTTTTCCAGGATAAAAAACCCAGGATTTTGAGGCTTTCCACACCTCTTTCCCTGGATTAATTTATTCCCAATTGTTTTTGGAGCTTTCCAACCCTCTGGATTTGCTCTTCCTTGTGGAAAAGAAGATTTTTAAGGAGAAGGAAAGAGTGGGGGAAAYCCCAAATTTTTGTATTTTCCCTCTCCACAGGGAAAGGGAATTTTTCTACATTTTTCCCAAGCTGGGAGCAGTAGTTTTGTACCAAATTCCTGATTTTTTGAGCCCCTTTTCCTGTTTTTTCCCAGCCCTTTGTGTCCCTTTGGATCCCAAATTCCCTCCCTTCCCTCTCCATGTGTTTTATACCAGATTCATTTCCTACTTTTTTTATCTTTTATTGGAATAAAAGCAATGAAAAAAAACCCTGAAATTGTGGAATTTTCCTGCTTTTTATGCTCCTGAGTGGGATTCTTGGGAAAAAAGTTTGGTGTCACTCACCCTCACGCAAAGAAGCTGGGAAAAACGACCCCAAATCTAGGGAAAATGCCTCAAAAATTAGGTAGATGCCCATAATCTGGGAAAGTTGCCCCAAAATACRGGAGAGATTCCCCAAAATCTGGGAAAGATGCCTCAAATCTGGGAGAAAATACCCCAAATTCCGGGATAGATAGATGCCCAAAAATGCCAGAAAATCACCCCMAAATCCTGCAAAGGTTCCCCAGAATGGAGGTATTTGAGCCAAGTTTATTGGAATGTAGGAGCCAGAGCTGCCAGGATTAGAAAAGCTTTGAAATCTGGGAAAATGCAAAAATCCACAAAAAACTAACCCAAACTTCCACAAAAATCCACCAAAAACCCGGGGTCTTCCCTCTCTCCCAAATCAGAAAAAAAACCCAAAAAACAGGAAAGTGTAAGGGCCCTGTCAGGACCACCAAAACTTCCGTGGGTCGTTTATTCCCACCTGGTTTTTGGGATAAAGCATCCCATTCYGGGGATTTTTCAGGTCAGTCTGGCTTTTTCCCATTCCTGGCCAAGAGTGTGGATTTTGACCCAGTTTGTACCAAAAAAAAAAAAAACCCACAAGTGGCTTCTGTCAATATCCAGGGGCTCTCAATGCCCCATTCAGCTGCTGCCGGGGATTTTTGGGAAGTCAGGAATCACACAGCATTTTAGGGTTGGGATCCAGGAAGGTTGGGAATGATGCTCCAAAACCTGAAAAAGATGCCAAAAAACAGGAAATATCCCAGAAAATGTGAGAAAGGCACCCCAAAATCCAGGCAATAGCCCCAAATTCCARCAGGAAATGACCCCAGATCCCATCAGGAAAACACTCCAAATCCCACCAGAATATGTCCCCAAAATCCACCAAAAAATGTTACAAATTCCACCAGGAAATTACCCCAAAACCCACCAGAAAATGACCCTAAATCCTGTAGGAAAACCCTCCARCATCTCACCAGGAATTCTCCCCGGAGCCCCAAAGGTGACCCCGGTGACAAATGTCCCTTCATGTCCCTCCCCGCCAGGCTGAATCCGTCACTATTTTTACAAAAATTCCCAGAAAAATGTCGGGATTTGGGATAAAAGTGCCCTTTGTGGGGTTGTTGTTGGGGTTGGCATTGGCCTGGTTGGGTAAACTCCAGCTCCTCTGGGAATCCCAGGGATCCCAAAAAGCCAAATCCAGGATTGATGGTGGCAGCAGATAAAGAGMCCCTTGTGCTACACCCCAAAAACTGGGAAAAGGTCCCAAAATCTGCAAATGGTGCCCCAAAATCCGGGGAAAATGCTGCAAAACCTGGGCTATTTCCCATAAACTCCAGGAAAAATGCCCCGAAACGTCGGAAGCATGCCCAAAATCCAGGGAAGATCCTCCAAACCTGGGAATGATGCCCCAAAATTGGGGAAAATGCCCCAAAACCTAGAAAAAGTACCCTAAAACTAGGACAGATGTCCCAAAATTCGTAGCTGGGGACTCCAGATTCAGGGTTGTATACCCCAGAAATCAGATCTGACCCTCCAAAACACCAGTTTGGGTCATTTCGAGGTAATTTGGGGACATTTTTAACCCCAAATCCCGTCAAGGTCCGGGCTGCCCCACCAAACCTGTAATTTTGGGGTCATTTGGGGTCATTTTTAGCCCCAAACCCATCCAGGGCTGGGTCTGCACACTCCACGAGTTCTCCTGATCCTAATTCCCTCTAACGACCACCCCCAACCCCATTAATCCCCCACAGCTTCCAGCCCTCATTAAACCCCGTGGCCCCGCTGAGTTTTTCTGCTCTTTTCCAAACCAAAACAAAAAATTAAAAAAAAAATAAAAAATAAAAAATAAAAAAAAACCCCAACTCCCCCCAAAATGCCTGGTCCCTCCCTGAACCTGATCTCCTTTCAAACCATGGGACCCTCAGCCCAGCCCTTTAAGGATTTGGGGTTTTTTAAGATTTTTGGTGTTTTGGGGTTTTTTTTTCATGGATTTATTTAATTTTTTTTTTGAGATTTTTCCGGTTCTGGGACACAGGGGCAGCTTTGTCCCCACCTGCGGGGTGGCTCTCAGAGCCCTGGCTCAGTGCCACCCCAAATAGGGTTTTTTTTGGGATGGGGGGATGGGAGAATTCACCATCAAAGGATCCTAAATCCTTTTTTTTTTTTCACCTCTTACTCTCTTCAGCCACGAAAAAAAACCAGGGGGAAATTTGTAGGGTTTGGAAATGGATGAAAATCCTGAATTTCAGGCATTTAGGGGACAAAACCCCRCAAAATTTTGGCAGGAATCCCAAAAAATTAAAGGGTGATGCAATTCCMCCCTCTGAGAACGACCCCAAAAAAAGAAAGCCCAGAATTCCAGGAGAAAAACCAACTTTGGGAATGGGAAAAATCTCTCCCCAAAATCCTAACAATCTTACAAAAAAAMCATTTTGAGGTTGTGGAGTGGGTCCTTCCCATAATCCCCCAAAAAAGTGGGGGAAAGAAAGGGGATTTAACCCCAAATCCAAACATTTCATTTCAAAATCCCAGAGTTTTGCCCCAAATTCCCAAGGGATTTCCCC